ATACCTGATAAAACACTCTCTCTCGTGTTTTAAACTATACAATATACACGAAAAGTCGACTCTACTAAATCAAAGGGACAATGCCATAGGAGTCTCATTCCTCTAAAAATAACTGAAAAGGAACAAAATGTCAAACTGATATATCTATGGCAACCGCGAGTATAGTTGGGCTCTATGGCTAACCATGATTGAAGTTTAGTTTGTTTAACAACTGGGGCTAGTTGTACGAAGGGTGGATAAACATCAGATAATTATTGGGTGATATATACACTCTCAAACAACCTGTCCCTGATATGATGATGTCAATTCAGTATATAGTCCACATACACCTAATAAAAAAAATATATATATAGAGAGAGAATATTGTATAGGTGCGCGGGGATAAGGATTTTATCGTAATGAGAAGATCTCTCACGAGTGAACACGACAAGATAAAATTTGGTATCTCCAAGCGACCATGTAATATTGTGTTTATCAAATAATTATATATGAAATCAAACTATGTACACGGCCCCGAGGGCTTTATAGGCTTATTGCCGACGTTCGAGGTATTTATCTGGCTTATTTCATACTTGAAGACGTTTTCCAAGCACTGCATTAATATTTTCATTTTTAAATAGGCAAAGAAGCCGTTTTCATATGAATTAAAAACCAAAACCTCGATTAGAAAGGTTACGAAATTTACTGTATTGACAATTCCCAACGGTAATAATTTGCATAAACATTTTTCTCGTTAGTCCCATGAGGCCAATGCTAACAATATACCTTGTCTAAAAAGTAACTGGACAATGTTAAATAACTGTTTTATTCCACAACTGACATCGATTAGTCAGTTAGCACAACGTGTTAATTATATGATTTTCAAAGGTAAGGTTATGGGTTGGAATCTACTTGGTGTCATTTGAATTTTTCTTTCTTTCTTTCAAGTTTAAAGTTTCAGACGGAAAATTTCTRARTTGAAYGTAGTAGYTAATTAGGTATTCAAGGGCAATAAGTACATTAGTATTCAAGGGCAATATATAGATATTGCCCTGAAACTTCGATATAAAGCACTTGAATACA